TCCAATATCTATATTAATGGAAGCAAAGGAAAAATATTATCGATGCTGGAAGTCGGAAATAAAAGTAGAAGTCTTTTCAGAATTACCTACTTTTATATGGCTTTCACAGCAAGAGTTACAATCTCAAATCCTGATCAAATGTTTGCCTCCCTGGCCATGTGAGACTGAGGTTAACTGCAGAGATTATGTTCTAAATGAAAATCATCCAGGTACTTATAGATCAATGTAAAGGAGGTGATGCATTTAGCCACAGAGGTAATGAAGGAGGCCCTCTGCAGAATTTTGAACCAATGTATATAAAATTTTGAGGAAATAGTAAACACCTTTCTAATACCTAAAATGAAAAGAATACTTACATTGTTTAAATTGTTTTATTTCAGAAAATAAATTCTGAACAAATAAATAAAATTATCCAGAATAGAAACAACAGAACACTTTAAACTTGATTTGTTCCACAAGTGAAAGGCAGATCTTTCTCATTCATGGAACAGATCGGGCATTCTGTGGTTCCCCCTAATGTACCTGTGATTTAATCACTGCAAGGAAATTTTTGCTGATTGAAAGAGCAGACACTCACGCACTTTAACCCCATTTATACAATAGTGCAATTTGTATTTGTTCTCAATTTGGAAATGTTTCACATTCTAACCTCCAACGAAAATGGTGCCAACATATTTACTCAGATCTTTGTTCAGATAAAAACTCATACCTCCTGAAGCTTGGTTAAAGCCGGTTGGGATTCACTTTGATTAGAGTCAGACTGATGTAAACAGTCACCTCCAAATCTCTGCTACATGCTGCCCCTGAGGAAACCCTCAGTGCATGAGTTAGGGGCTGATGTTTGATGTCATCTGGCATGTGAATTGCTTCAGGGCAAAGGTGAGTGTAAATGCTGAACTATCACATTCAGTTTGGATCAATTCTGATTTGCTATGAATGCTATTGCACAGTGTAAATCAGCCTGTAGGCCACTTAACCATTCTTCCTGCCACAGAAACATTCACAAGAATCTTGCTCTGTATATCCCAAAGGTACAATTTTGGTAGACTATGTCTGTACCAATATAATATATATCCTATTTTGGTTTTAAAACTGAAATCATACAAAAGGACTCTGTAACAAGATGTACTTTTTGTAGCTTCTAAAAGAAACAGGTTATTTTGTTTTTGTCACTTCGGAAAAAATCATAACAGCAAACAATCAATCAACAAGGAGAGAACAAACTGTGGACCCAATCATACTCTTTTTATTGGAGAAACTTTAAAATATAGCGTTATTTCTTCATGTAGTCCCTTAAACTACTGAAAGCTTGCCGCTCTAAATTTGAGATGCAGGGGACCAGAAAGCTAATTGAGAGCTGATATTGTGATAATGATTGCTTGTGGGGCAAGCTTTTTGATATCAATAATTAATATATGGTTAAATAATGCATGCAATTTATAAAGATTTAAATGCCCTTTCACTTTCCCCTTTTCTGGCAGTATTAGCTCCTGTTGTGAAGTGATACTGGTTGTTCACTTTTGCTTTCATGAAGCATTAAATAAAAATGTCAGATCTCATGTTGATGATAAAAAAGAAACATGGACAAATGCTTCTCTCCTCAGCTCTCTCTGTAATGCTAGTGGAAGTGATTCCAGATAAATCCTGAACACTAATTGATCGATTAATTGTATAACCTGTACTGAATACAGATGGTCCAATTTAAACCACTGATGACAGATCTCAGGTAGGTCTTGGACTGAGAAAAGGGTGGAGGAAAGGGAAGGAGAAATAGCAAAGGAAGGAAGGGAAACAGAGGAATATAGGAGAGAACACTTTGCGATAAAGCTTATGATATATTATTATCATTTAGGAATTTGGATTTTAAAGCAGAGATCTGTCTTAAAGGAGAGATGAACAGTTTTGAGTTCAGTTCAGAATCAGGTTTTCAGTGTAGAAGAATAGTTTCATCCTAGCAAAAGGGCAATCTGTCAGTTATGTGGAAATCTCCAGATTGCGAAAGCTTAGCTTGTAGATCTCCAGCTTGTGAGACTGTGTGAAGTCTCCAACTTGTGATAGTTTATGTAAAAGTTTTCAACCAGTCAGAACTGAAAGAAAGGGTTTAGTTCAAGAGAACTGAAAAGGAATCCAGGCCCTCAGTACTGGACAGAAGTCTCTAGGCCTTCAGAACAAAAAAAGAATCAACTAATTGAGAAATTGAAGCATTTAAGATGACAGCAAACTGGGATTCACTGGATATAACTGGATATCTATAAAGGATATTATGGAAACAATGTTGAATATTTACTTATTTTTGATTGTGTTAAGATCTTTCTAATGTATAGTTTTTTTGTTCTTTTTCCTTTTGTATAATAAACTTGTATTCTTCTGTCATGTTCCATGTCTAACCACCGTCGTAATTAAATGCAAGAATGAGAATTATGATGCATCAAGCCAGATTTCACTCTGGGATCTGATTTGCCCAGTATTGTCAGCTGAGATCACAACAGCTTTTCATAACCATACATAGTGTCTGAAAGTCTCCAAAGAAACAGAATAATTTAGGTATTCACCTAGCAGAGAAGCAAAACATTCCCATTAAAATGGCACAGTAGTATTTGCATTTAGGGATTAAATACCTTGTCCCCTACAAACATGGCCGTCTATTCACTGAACGGATTTGAAAAAAGGCACAATTTTCTGACGTATCATTGTGTACCTCTTCTTAGAGTGTCAGAGAACTATTCCAATCTCCACTCCATAGAGGGATTGATGCCTCAGTTGCACCATTATGGTTATGAAAGCCTTACCCAAATTTCTAAATTTAATAATTAAGAATTTAGAGGAGATGGAGTGACACTTCACAAATGGAAGCCTTTCACCCTGATCAAGTTACAAGGAGGAAAGTAGAACAGTGTTAACAAACAGCAACAAGTTGAAATTTAAAGGAAAGATATTCAAAGAAAATGTTTTGGAAGGTGATATGAGACCTCTTTCGACTGAATATATTAATTTTCTGATCTTGTGCTTCAGTGGACTCACTGTAGCCAAATGAGAGTTTAGGTATAAGTATGCAACAGGGAATATCGATTTAGTCACCTGCAAGATGTTTTTCCTGACTTCTATTTCCAGTGAAGTCAACATGATTTTTAAAAATTAACCAAGTAAACATGCTGCAAAAGACAACTTGAACATGTAGCACTGAGCTGGATTATCTAAAATTCTGTCACGACAAACACAACATCAGTAAATCTGCACATATTGATACTTTGGATAGCTGGTCAGATGTAGTCTTGAAGAATACAACGAGCCAATTAAATTTCACGAAACAAACTTTGCTTGACTGCTTACAAGCATAGAGAATTAATGGATGCTTCTAGGGCTAACAATGTTGTAACACACACTGTCATGACTCACTGGGCTTGAAATCAAGTCAGACTATTCCTGCAATCATCACAAATGTGCAAATTTAATTAAACCACTGCACTGTCCAATTTTACCCCTCTGACTCATTCAAGTTAAAAGAATATGCACACCGAGTAATTTCTATTAATAAGAAAATACCGATTGCAATAAATAACTTAAATCTCAACCCTTAAATTCACTTTTTTTTTCATTCATTCAAGGGATGAAGGCATTACTGGCTAGGCCAGCATTAATTGCCCATCCCTCATTGGCCAGAGGGCAGGTTAAGAATCAACCACATTTGCCAAGGCGGTATTTGAACTGAGGTCCCCAGGACATATTTCGCTTGGGAACATTGCAGCCCAATGGTATCAATGTGGACTTCACAAGCTTCAAAATCTCCCCTCCCCCGACTGCATCCCAAAACCAGCCCAGCTCGTCCCCACCTCCCTAACCATTCCTCCCACCTCAAGCCCCACCCCCATCTCCTACCTACTAGCCTCATCCCGCCCCCTTGACCTGTCCATCCTCCCTGGACTGACCTATCTCCTCCCTACCTCCCCACCTACACTCACCTCTACTGGCTCCATCCCCACCTCTTTGACCTGTCTGTCTCCTCTCCACCTATCTTCTCCTCTACCAATCTTCTATCCGCCTCCCCCTCTCTACCTATTTATTTCAAAATCCTTTTCCCCTCCCCCATTTCTGAAGAAGGGTCTAGACCCAAGACGTCAGCTTTCCTGCTCCTCTGATGCTGCTTGGCCTGCTGTGTTCATCCAGCTCTACACCTTGTTGTCCCCAGGACATTACCTGTGTCTCTCGATTAATAGTTTAGCAATAGTGCCACGAGACCATCACCTCCCGAAACACATATAGACAGACACACTAAAGGACATGACAAGGCACACGTATTGTGAATGTTGAAGGAAAAGAATCTCAGTAAAGCACAGTTGTGGCACCAATCTGGATCACAGGTGTCGATGAGTTGTTGTTTTTAGACTCCTTCCAATTCTTTGCTAATGACACCAGGTTTTAGGTATACCAATTCTCAGACTTTCATTCATTGGTTGAGGATTTGCCCTTTCCATGCCGCTGAAATGAGGTTTTCACTTTTTTGTTGAAAGAGGGTATTTGCAGGGAGAGCAATTTTCAGAGAAAATGAGAGGAAAAGTAGCTAGACACTGGAAATTTTCTTTTAGGTTTCTACACAGACGGGAGAGAGAGGGATGAATCCTTTCTCTTTGCAGGCTGTATACTTTCTGCTGTCTTGTCTGCATCAAAGGATGCAGCCACCTGGTCGAGAACCAATAAAGTGATTGTTGTTATCCTGATCCCTCCTAAACCCACAACAACTGATCCTGATTGAAAATCAAGTCAAGATTGTACCTGGGCAAAATTGCCCTGACCACAAACTATTCTGTTTGGAATGCTCTCTCACTGCTTGAATAAGGCAACATCATACATATAACTCACAATGTGTTTCAATTACTTGTTTTTAAAACTGCATGTATCTTTTTTACACAGTTTCCTTCATTTAAAACAGCACCTTCTCCTAATTTTAGTCCACTATCCAAAAATAAAGTGGCCTTTGCAACATCTTAAGAGGTAATACCTACCTCAACTCCATTGTTTTGCCGAAATACATCTTGGTTAAAGTAATCAAAAAGCTTCTTTTCTAGTTGGAGCACCACCTTTAGTAAAGATGAAAAACAGTGAAATTCAATCTACACATCACACAGGCAAGGGATCATAACAAATGTTTTCATTGCATTAAAGGCATACCTTCCTATCATTCTTTGATTCACGGAAAATTAACTTATTTATTTGATTGGTGTCTGCTGCTCGGATAGTTTGCATTGTTGCTGATGCACAGAGTGCCTAAAAAAAAGTAAAACAAGACTTGATAAAGGAGGTGCAACAATAATATTAAGTCAGTTTATGCTTCTTGACACATTTCAAGATTTAGTATGGAGTGACCAAAAGTAATGTTATAGAACATCATTGACCTCATAGACATTTATTTTACTACCTGGTCAATTTATTTTTTTTAAAAAAAGTAAATTATAGAAGTCAAACATCCATTTAGAATTATCAAGTTTAAATGCAGTGGCAACAATACGTACAGGTATATTCACTCAGCTGGAAACATTTCAGTTTAAATCATCCAACAATTCAAAAGGTTTAAGAACACTTACTTCAGTTTAGCAAACTAGAACATTAAATTACTTAATATCCTTTGGGAATTTTTGCGTGTTTTATGCATGTGAACAAGGAGTTATGGTTGCATACATGGCACTACACAAGTCATATATGTCCCCAACTGGGAGTTGTGAGACCCATGAATGTGCCACTAATATTACTTCAGTCAAGTGGTGATTTGTACTCACTCCACAGCTAGCCTATCCAACTGTGAATTACAAATTTTGAGGCAGTTTGGATTGGTAGAAGTGACAAGAAGGTGAGAAGGTGAGTATCAGCAGGAATTGTAGAGCTGACTGTGTAGAGGGGTGATCAGTACATTGAGGAACTGGGGGAGAACTGTCCCACTCCTTCTGTTTCTGTGAAAACAATTTAAAAGAAACATCTTTTCTATCAGCTGCATAAGAGTCCTGCAACAATTCTTGCTAACGTACTGAAAACAGAAGCTTGTTGTCTACATAAGAGGGGCCTGGTACCTGTTTTAAGCATTTGTCAAGAATTCCTGAAAGGCCTTTTCTACCTGTGTGAATCTCATCTTTGATGAGCATTCTGGCCTCTAAACCTAACCCTTTGAAGCTGAAAAATTAAATCTCCCAGCCTACAGCACTCCCACCCTCTGGTCCCCAAAAGCCCTGGATCTGCACTGGTTATCTTGTATGGAGTGGATGGAAGCCTCAGCATCTGTAACAAGCTCACCAGATATTCCACGCTGCGGATGTTTAGGCTTTGTTACAAACATGGCTCAGTTATTGTGGAGGCCAAACAATTGCAGTGTCACAAACTGTGGATTCATAGAAACACACACACACACACAAACACACACACACACACACACACACACACACACACACACACACACACACAGAGACACATAATGATTGTCCATAGCCACAAAAGGTTATTACTGCAAATAGATGAATTCACTTGGTGACAATTTGCAATAAGTCATTTCATGTGGCTGTGCACCAAAATCTTATAAAAGAACTCTACACGTTACATCAAACTCTATCCATATCCACACTGCTATGCTCAAAGGAAGTGTTTTCAAAACTTCTTTTATGGCAAGGAACTTCAACACTGTGTAAACAATGTATGAAAGCTTTGCCATCCAATGACAAGGCTTTTATGGGGTAGAATTTGCAAAGTTCTTGCAGTCCCAGGGGACTCAGTTTTCTTGTTATTGGAACACTCCTCTACTTCTACCATTGAGCTTTGCCTGTCTGTGTGAAGTTGTTGGGGGACTGGAACTACTTAATTTCTAGTTTGGTGAAACAATAATGAGAGAAAACCTAGACTATAAGGATAATTACTGATTTAAATAAATGATGGTACATTCATACCACCCCATGTAATTCCTGTTATTTCTTACTATTTTTTAAAAAAGTAATTCATGCTCAGCATTTTAATCACAGATGTAGAACTTCCACGTTTTCAAAGCAGCATCACGTTCGAATAAATGCCACGTCATACAATAAAACACTGAATTTCTCTATAACCTCTCTTGGATTTAAAAGTAATTGATATTTACATAAGGGGTGGTTTAATGGAAAGCTTCATTCATAATGAAGTAATAGGAATCGGTTAGTCCAAAGGCTATGATGCACTATTGAATGCAGTAATAACAGAGTACGTTAAATACTAATGGCTACCAACATTGGCTCAATTATGGTCAAACATAGGTTGAATACTGAATAATTTCCTGTCACAAAGTTGCTGCTAGGCAACTTGTTCATTGCAGCATCAAATTGATAAAACACCAAAATATGAACAAAAATCAAATACAGCCAGTGTTCAATGAAGCCGTTAAAATACATCAATATCCAATCAATGCGGCACAACATTCTTCAAAATTATAGTATGCAAAAATGATCCTGGCCACACACCACTGAACACTGAAACCAAATTATTCCTCTCTCTCCTTTTTCTCCCCTTTTGGTCAGGGAACAGTTTACCATCTGTGTTTGACTGACATAATCCACAGAAGAGCTGGTTCCCATACTGAACACAACTGGCTCAGAGTTTTAAATTCAAAGCACAGATTAGTTAATCACATCAAACTAAAGAGCCCTTTAGACTCGTATGTCACAAATCAGCCTGGTCGCCTTTAAATACTGCACCACATCAGAACAAGTATCAGAACAAACCAAAGCAGAAACCTCTAGTTTTCTAAAGCCCTAACAAATCGGTCCATCTTTCAGTCATTTAAACTTTCCAATCAAGGGTCAATATGGTCCAAGCATCCAAATGCTAATGCACTTAAGTGCGCTTAAGCTGCTTTCCTAAGTGAATGGGTAAAAAGGACTGCAAAGGACAAGGCAGAGTTACTGTCACTGTCAAAAGTCATTGTACCAACCTCCAAGCGGGCACAATTCAACAAAGTCATGTTTTTAAAGCATCTCCTGAGAACCTGGACTGCCTCAGTATCAAACTGATTTAATGCTTCTCTGATTAACAAAAATCTGCTACACTACTGATCAAAATAAATAGTCCATTCCCCTTATGCATTCTGAACTAACTAAATTCAAAAATAATCTCAGAGCAGCTTCATTTCCATTTACAGCCTCTATTCCTCCAAATCAACCTTTAAAATACTGGATCATACATCAAAAATAAAACATACAAAAAGATTTAATGTTTGTCCGTGGCTTTATCACATGGTTGGATGCCTCTCTATCAAAGGTTTTACAAAGTGTTGTTATAGTGTTAGTACAAAAAAAGAGATTGTGGCTGAAAATTGCACTGGATGCTTGTGCACTCATTCTTCTCCAGAGTAATTTTCCAATGCGACTAAAGAAAAAGTGTGTCCATATCTACTGGTATAAATATAAACATCTTGAAAATATACAAAAGTTGTCTAAAAGATGTCAGCTTGTAATTTCCCCTATATGTAATTACATTAGTACATATTTCCATTTCTAAGAGACATATTTATGTAGATCATTTAAATTTTTAAACCTAGCATATTAATAACTCTCTGAAATACAGACTCTACAAGCAAAATTTCTGAAAACAAAGCTAGTTTTGAAATACTCGCATTTTAGACTGAGTTACACAGTAATTGTTATAGGATAGGTGAAATGAGAATTCTTCCTGCAAAATATATTTCACTATCATTAAAGTATATGAAAAACCTTAAACTTCTGAAGATCAATGACGATTCCAGCTTACCCAGAAAAATAATGAACAGTGCTATGCTAATGACTTAATTTATTTCTAGAATAATATGTTGAATCAAGGAATCAAGAACATTCAAGGAGGCATTGAAATTCAGAGAGGTTGAAGAATGACCACTTGAAAACTTAAGAACCCACATGAGGTCAAAGGAAAATGGCCAGCTGCGCAGAACGATAGATCACACATTGCAGCACCACTCTGCAAACTCACTGCAACCCAGTCCGGATGTCAAATAAAAAAAATGTTTCAGTGAAAGTAAACAAGAAATTAGATTATTAGTTTTCTACTAGTCTACATTACAAAGGCACAGTAATTTGAATGAATGAATGAGGTTGTATAAATGAGACATCTACATGGTGGATTTTTGAGTTGCACATCTGGAATATATCTTCAAAACTCCTCTATGCCTGTTAATATGCTATTCCTTTTCAATATTTAAAAAGTGCTATTAAATTCATTTGTCAATTCTGTGTGACTGAGGACCACAAATCTCCAATGGACTTCTTGTGTTAAACTCTGACAGCAGTATTCTGTTTCTCCACAGGAAGACATTTGTGTATTCTTCTGCTCAATGTGATTTCCACTTTTTAACTCATCTGCCATCCTATTCCCCGCTCAGAAGGACAAATTGCTCACTGTGACTCCTTTCAGCATGAGCACAGCGAGCAGAAAATTGTGACTGAGCAGAAACACAAGAAACAGCAGCATAAAAATTCATCACTTTGGCCTGTTGACCTCTCACCACTAGGTTGACACACCCTGTCTCGGTGAGTAGCATCAAGGGAGAAATGTGCAGCCTGGGTGAGTAGAATTACTAACAAAAAAACTTAGAAACAGGAAAAGCCCACCAGATGCTTCATTGTTTTGTATTCTTTTCTAAAGAACTGGTCCAGCAAAAGGGTTTACCACATGGCATATTGGATGGAATGAGTACAGTCATTGTTTCATGGCAGTACTGTCACTTACTGACTGCAGTACAAAGAGGTGTAATGCAAGATTAAATCCAGACTTTTAGCTAGCAGATTAAAACCAATCATGACAGATGTCCATGAGACTGTTTAACATACAAAATGCATGACACGTCCATGAAGTGAAGGATAAAGCTCTCCATTTCTTCAGCAGAGCAGTTTTTCCAATTCTGCCTCCAAAAGAAATTCTAATGATGCCTAAAACACTTCCTTTCTAGTTTTCAGCAATGCATGAATTTCATTAGTATGGTTTATTTAGTAATGCCCTACAATGTTTGTCAAACTGCCTCACTTCATTTTGGGGTGACATTGCTCCCATTAATTCAGATTTTTTTTTAAATGCTACTATTGTGGATATTGAAAAGTAGAATAAAGAACTCCAAAAGCTGTTTCTTTTCACAAAAACTTAGCCGAAAAGAGCAGTAACATCAACCAAATTCCACAGACTCAAAATGATCATCGCGATAATTTACTCCTAAGAGATTGAATTCGGATCATAACTGCAAAAAAAAATTTGAAAATAAAATAGAATGTGGTGA